CATCAAGCGTTATTTGTTTGCATTACCTTTTCATTTTCCAAGTTACCTGAAACCATCAATTTTGTCAAAGGTTTTTCAAATTTTGGGTCTCTCTTTTCTTTTCTTTCCTTTCCTACCTTATTTTGAACTTGAACATCTCGAGCAGTACCAGATTTTGCAACCCCCGTTTTTATATCTTTGTGGGATATATTTTTTTTACCTGTTTTCTGCCTCTATTACAATTTTTTTATTCAATTTCAAAATCATACAGACACATTGTAGCATATTGATGCCCTCCCCCCATGAAGTACTTGTACCCAAGTGTGCTCTGCCCTCCCACTGAATAGCAATATTGCAACAAATAATCAATGACAAACAAGTGAATGGAGGCCACTCCCTCCTCTTATGAGATCGATTCTGGGATCCCCTGTAGTAATTTCAACTGGAAAAAAAACTGCACCATTGCTCCAACAATCATAAGGAACTCCCTCATAGTATTCAGAATTCAGATTGTACAAGTACACTGTAAACTTCTGCATCAGGTCCAGTTGACAATGCCCAAACTGATCCAAGCATAACAGATACAAACCAAATCCGAACTCACATGGATCAGACCTACAATAATCCAAACCAATCAGACTCAACTTGACAAAATGTTAAGGAAAATCTAACTGACCAGTAGTGGAAAACATACAAATGTATACCCCCCCCCCCCAAAAAAAAATATCTCCCAACAAGATTGCAAGTGTGAAGAGTGCCCTGATCCAACAATATGAGAATTTCATAAATAAGAGAAAGCTTCATTGGATCTTGTCAGATTCAGTGCCAGTATGGTTTGAAATGTTAACATAGCTTTGCTGCAGTCAATGTAACCATAGTTAAAACAACTGTGTATGTATTTAATGCACCTATTTAATTGTCAAAGAACACTCCCCCTACAACCCCCCCCCCCCCCAACAAAAAAAAGGAATGGAAAAAGGAGAAAAGGAAAAGACGATGGTGTTACTAAGTCAATATTACACTCTCAAATGATGGCCGGCACCCCACGTTGGGTGAGTGCTTTGCCCCCTGTAGGAAAAAATGCTGGTGACACCCATGCATGGTACTTGTTACATGTATTCAGTGTGCGGATTATTGAGAGTGCGGATAAGATCTAGGGCAACAGGTGGGCACATGTAGGTACAAAGATTGCCAACCAACCAGATCTGTCATAACATTCAAGGCATGTGCAATAATATTTTTCTACTGTTCACTGTTTATACACAAAAAAGGGTGGAAACTCACTGTTTTAACAATGTCTGTTTTGTTGCACTTTTCATCTAGACTTTGTGTTGCATTGAAATGTCGAAAATTATAGTACTGTACATACGTGTGCGTGTTGTTCATATCCAGATCCAACATTAACTAGAGGTTGTAGGAACAACCACACGGTGTTGGGACATGGATTACTGCAGACTTTGCCACACACATCAACTCAAAATATGCATGTTTAAATCCATGTTTGAATTTTTCAACATGTCGCCAGAGGGCGCTCTAACATTTGATGACGTCACCTGTAAAATTGTTGTACAGTACTGCCTGGGCAGACACTCACATCGTTGAAAGCAAGTTCGCATCTTCTGCCAATTTCAAATAATAAGGCACTTCTGGTTTCGACTGGAAGGAAGGGTCACGGGATTTTGCACTTAAAACCCAAAATGAAGACCCTGCAATATTGTATCGATTGCCATAAAAAACAAAATCAAATCTGTAGCGGTTGATTTTATGTTGATTTTCAAAGATTATATCAAGAAATCTTTGATTGCTTGTAAAATGATACTTGATGACGTCATTGTGACGTCATTACCAGAAAGTTCAAGAGCTGTTTTAACTACAGCCAAATCTTGATTACATCTATGACGGTATATTTTCTAGCAATTTTTTAAGGTTTATTTAAGGTCTTTTTATTGTAACTTCCGGTCTGATGACGTTATCAATTTTTTTCCGCGCACAGATGTTGTCTGCATTATGGTCATCATGTACATTAATTTTGAAGCGATTACCGCAAACTTCATCACATACCGGTACATCAAGTGTTATTGCGTTTTCGACATTTTTTAATCTGCCGCTAGAGGGCGCTCGAACATTTTATGACGTCACCTGAAATATGTTTCTGAAGCACAGCCTTGGCAGACACTCACATCATTGAAAGCAAGTTCGCATCTTCTGCCAATTTTAAATAATAAGGCACTTGCGGTTTCAACTGGAAGGAAGGGTCACATGATTTTAGGCGCACAAGATAAAATGAAGATCATGTATTACCATGTCGATTCCCGCAAATTTCAGGTTCTGGTCTCTCACGGTTGATTTTATATGGAATTTCAAAGATTAAATTTATTAAGCTTTCAAGTGACATCATGTGACCCATGATGGCGTCATGATGACGTAAATGCAAAAAACCACATCTGTGGTGGATTGGTCATTCGTGTACGGACAAATGAAGATATATGTTTCCATTTTTCCAAACAGTTCTGGAGAAGGATTTGCTGAGAATATGCTGAGGAGAACAAAAACAGTAAATTCTTACAATAACAATAGGTGTTGGGCTCAAGGCCCAACACCTAATTAACTAAGGAAGTGTGAAGGCTTACGCAGTCCATTCTAAGCAATTGTCTAACCCAAAAAATACATGTAATGTGGAAATAATCCTGCAACAACCTGTCCTTATCTCTGGGTTATCAGTCGTGGTTTTTGACAATAGCTGAAGAGTCATTGCAGGAAGTGTAAACAAGGGTTAGTCAACAATATCACTCACTGCATCAGGTTCTGATGAACTGCTAAAGAGAAATGCAAGCCCATCATATATCTTTTCAGTAGGAAAAAACACCAAAATGTTCTACAAGTAAACTTTAGATTTTGTTAACCCATTAGATTTTAAATGATGCTTTGGTTGAATTGTTGATATATGTTCTATTAATTTACAGTGTATGTTTATGCAGAATATGCAACATGGACATACTTTTCAGTGATCACAAGATTGATAGTGAAATATTACATGAATATCTTCATTTAAAGGCATGTATTACTATAACAACACCAGTACATTTTAGAATTTATTCTGACTCATACATTGAACTTTCAAACCCTTTGTATTACCCTGCATATTTTACTTGTCTCTAGAGAAAAGACATTTTCTATGTTTTTTCTTCCCAATTCTGTACAAAGCAATGTTGTCATCAGCTTGCAGAATGTTAACCAATAAAAGCACGAAGACATCACCTACGGTATGTACGTTGTGCACACTACTTTGGGCCAATCTTCATTCACATGACATTTTAATCAGTGTACCTGCGTTTTGATGCTGTGTGTACATATTACGCATGAGAGCTTGCAGTCAGTGGGTACACATGGAGATGACTCCTTGCGATACTGATTTGATTGACGCTGCATACATATTGACTCATCCTCCCCTTAACATTTACACTTTGTATTAGATTGGCCAGCCACTTAGGAGTGACAGGTTTTGATGTTCTTATCACAGAAAGTACATGTACTGGTGGGAAGGGGTTGAAATGGCAAATCATTATTTACTCACTACTGATGTACAAATCTGTTGAGTGTCATTATCCTTGTTTTGCAGACAAAAAAGTATTTGTCCACTAGACAGATCAATGTACACTTTCTCAAATATTGTCAAGATGAAAAAAAAAAAACTCATGGAATAGGTGCCTCCATAGTCACTCTTGATTTTAATTGAAATGTAGTGTTACATGTAGTTTTAATGGACCTCATTTGATGCTAGGGGATGCTGTTTTCACTTTTTCTTGTCTCTTTATTTTGTAATTATTTCATAATTGATCCGTAAGGTGAAGGGAATTAGCATCAAATTAAAAACTATTCGTCTACATTCCTCTTTTGGTTAATTTACATTCAAAAAGGCACTTCTTGGGCAAGGGGCAAATGTAATTATTTTGTGGTGGGGCACTGGAAATTTGTGGGGACCACGTACCCCTCCAGGCAACCCCCCCCCCCCCTCCCGCGATACATCTCTGGTCGACTGCCAGTGTTCTCAGCATTAAAATTACTAAATGTGTTTTACATGTTCCGGTAGTTAAATTACATTGCTAAATTGTAGGAGAAAAGCTGAGCCGAAGTTTTGTAATTGTCTACATTTTGCATAACCCTTTTAGGGGCCATTTTTCTTTGCCGGTCATTTGACCTTCCCCCTCCCCCCCTCCCCCCTCCCCCCTCCCCCCCCCCCCCCCCCCCTCCATGTCAAGGAAAGAAATAAGTTCAGGATAAGTCATTGCTAGTGGTGGGGTTTTTTTTGGTTTTTTTTTTTTATTGATCTTCTTTTTATCACTGCCTTGGGTCTGTGTTTACAATGTATGTTTAGTCTTGTCGCCATTTGCAGTAAAAGTGTTATCCATTGGGGATAGTTGAAAGTCACCCCATCTGGTTAATATTTCTCAACAGTGTTACTAAACAACAGAGTGCTGAGTAATGACAGACAACACACATTTATATGTGCACCTATGAGCAGTAAACACACTTCTACATTGAAGTACTCCAAAATGTAAAAAAAACACCAAAAAACAGAGTTATGTTTACATGTGATCATGCAGAAGTACTACCAAAAGGAACAAACTTTGTATCCGTAATTTCCTTTGTGTGATAATTGTACAAAAAAAACCCACAAATTTTCAACTTAGTACAGTTGTGTGCACATTTATGTTCGTATTTTAATGATCTTTCCAACTACTTATAATGGAAATGCATTTTAGAGCCAAAAATGCTGCAATTTGTTCGAAAGTGCTCCTTTAAGGCAGTTTCTTTATGCCCATTCTCTTGATTAGTTAATCAATAATCATGTTTTCTACAACTGAAAACGAAATCTTAAATAATTTTAAACTATAAGTTATTTGTCTTCAGAATCAAAAAGATATCACTTTTAAAAAGCTCACACGATAAAGCTCAGACCATTGCTCTTTCTCAATTTGTTGATCAAATTGTTGGTTCTTATTCCTGTTTTCTTTTTTTAGGTCAATGTGGAATGTCCCACCCCTGTGCTCAAATATGCAAGAATGTACCAGGCATGGGACGGGTCAAATGTGAATGTGAATCTGGTCACATACTGGCTGCTAATGGCTTTCTGTGTATCAGTGAGGAAGGTAAGGTAGTAACATCAGAAAAGCTTTCTATTCTGGAATATGTTTCTGATTCCCCCCCCCCCCCCAGTCCTTAGGCATCAACACATTGTAAGTCTTAGGGGGTTACATTCTCTTTTCTTACTTAGCCCCTCCCAAAAAGAAATTTAGACTAAACAAAATTTGTAAAATTCATCAAAAGATCAAAAGAAAAGCTGCTTTTCAAAAGCATCTTGCTTTTTTGTGAACTACATTTTCCCTTGGTATTTCTCAAATTTCAGCAAATGATAGCAAAAATTTTACACCTAGGTTAAAGCCTTTGTTACACAGTGCCGTTCTGGCATCCTGATGGTGTCACAACCATAGAAGTTGGCAGAACTGGACAAGGACTTGACGGCAACTGCTCTGAACGGGGAGCTCGTGTTGGGGACTAGCGGGGAACTGCATAGGTCGTGATAGACACTGGAAGGTCCTGACAGAACGGCAAAGTGCCCCGATTGTTTTGAGCATGTTCAAAACAAACAGGAGACTCTTCCGTCCTATTCACAATGGGGTAAGAACGCTGCAAGGTTGAGCGTGGACTTAACTGGAACGGTCTGGACGTGGGGCCGACGGGAAGGAAGTCGGGAGCATCACTGTGAGAACTGCATGCACGGAGCTGCATCGGGACTGTCTTTCACTCACGAGTCTCATGTCTATACCGTGCTTACACAGTGCCTACCCAAACCTCCGCCCGTTGCAGGCACAGGGTAAGCACATGATTGACTTGACACCAACGGCTTGGATGGGATTGGGAGTATGAGCCATATTTGTCTTGAATAGAACTGCCTGAGAACAACTTGGACTGGATGAGGATGGGGTGAGGACTGGGCGCGCATGGATTATGGTCTGGGATCCAAGGCTGGCGCCATAAGTTGTTTAATTTCCCGCGTCCTAGCCACGTTTTAATGTATTTTTTGGGTAGTGACCATCATATCACACACGGGGCTAGAGAACAGCACTGCGTGACAGGGGCTTAAAATGAGTAATCTTCCTCAAATTAGTTGTACCCCCCCCCCCCTCCAAAAAAAAGGAGAAATACAAACTACCTAAACAAAATGCAGGTGTTTAAAGACAAGACATTAAATAACACCTTACAGGGCTGGGTACACAAAATGAACTTCATATGTTGGCCCAAGAATTATGTGAAATTGTGTTTTCACTCATGTATAATTTTGGAAAGTTTGGCCTAGGGATTTGAGTCAGTAGGCCTACATGTACTTTTTTTTTTCATTTTTAGAAGGGCCTTTTTCTTTTCTCCATTTTTTTCCCTTTCATTTTTGCCTGTTAGAGAAAGGAGTGCCTTTAGAATATTCACACAACAGGCACCAAGAAAAGTTCTCAACTACAGGGCTGACTATTCACACTAATTGGCCAACAGACAAGCTTGACTGAACACAAAGCTTTGGTGAAACCTTTGTTGGTACAACCCAGAGCCCTCAGGTTATCCCATAACTAACTACCAGTACCAGTACATGTAGTGTATGGCAGCAGTAATAAAACAACATCCATGTTCCCAGCACAGCCTTATAAATAAACAATATTTTGATATATAGTGAACCCCCATTTATACCGTACCCACAGCCCTTGAGTGTTGTGGCCTAAATACCGGTAGCAACCTAGACATTTTTTGCAGTCCAATATTTGATTTTGCAATTTTTTCCCCAGATAAATTCTTCAGTTGAATAATACATGTACATGACATGATGGGGAGTTTGCACAAGTTTTATCTTCAACCTCCCCACAGAAAATGTGGATAACCTTTAAATACCTTTGTCATGCTTTGGATCTTGAAGGGCAGATATTGAGTATGAAAGCAAAATGTGTTGAATCATGCAGGTGATTACTGTAAAAGTGTGGGTGTGCGTGTTTATGGTGTAAATCGAGAACACACACGTGCAACATCATCAATGAATTGAGAACAAGAACCAAATCGAGGTCGTAACGTGTTCAAAACCAATGAGAGCTGTTGCAAAAAAGTTAAGAGTTTAAACAAAGGAAAAGGCAAGATGAACAATTGAAAATCCTCAATTTACACCATAAACAAATGTGTGTGTGTACGGTATGTAAGTTTGTTTCTGCATTCAATAGGGGACGTTGAACAAAAGAGGACAATAGGGTCCCCAATTTAGCAATCATGTACAAAACATACCAGTATGGGAGGTCTTCCTAAAAATGTTAAGTACAAACAATAGGGGGTCCCCGATTGCAGGCAAATACACACTACTGGTGTGTGTGTGTGTGTGTGTTGGGGAAGGCTGAGGTAGAAAAAAGGTTCAGTTATGTAAAGACTATTTCCAAAAGATCCAGTGTAGATTAAGATCTTTGAGGGTACATTGACCCCGTTCCCACTTGATCCACCAATTGGGGGATCTGATCCACCTTTTGCCAAATTGCCGGATCAGATCCCCCAATTGGTGGATCAGATCCGGCAATTGTGTGTAGTGGGAACGCTAACCGTTATAAGGTGGATCAGGATCAGATCCACCTTTTCTGATCCACCTCTGGACCAGGATACAGATCCCCCAATTGGTGGATCAGATCCGGCAATTGGCGGATCACGGCAGATGGGAACGCAAAAGGTGGATCTGATCCGGCAATTTGACCTGTCAACATCCGCACGGTGCACGAGTGGCGCGAAAATGTTGCGGTCTTTAAGAACGAAGAAACACGTTTTCAGGCATGTAGCTCATGTGAAAATTTCCAACGTACACAACGTGCACAATAAACAACCGCTGAACTACGGGCTAGCACCGCGCATGCACGTGGTATATCCTGAAACTACACTAGGCCTTTTACAATTTTCGTTGCGTATTCTTCCATTTCTAAACCTTTTTTTTTCGAGAAATTTTACTTATTTTTCCATCCATAAATGACTCTGAGTCCGCACTCACCAAAACACTTCAATTTGGCACAGAATCATGGAAAAGCTTACGAATACGCAATGAGAATAGTGCCGATAACGCGGTGCGTCTGCAGGTGACAAATCTGTAGTATTGATTATAGAAAATTGGAAAAGATGTCGTAGTACATCATGTGACCATTTTTAACCAATGAGAAGCTTCAGAACCAGGGAATCCCTTATCGATGCATTGGTTTCTGCCGTGATGTCACACAATGAGCGGCGCTGTTCGATTTCACCAGTTAATTTATGCACGTACGGATCCTCTATCCGTGATTTATGTCGGTGAATTCGCGTAATTTTTGTCGGTGAATTCATATCGCTGTTAAAAACTGACCCATCCTGGCCTAGCAGTAGCATGCAACACTACTGGCACTCCACAGAGCGCGCGTAATTCCGAACTCAGTGACCTTTCAGACCCAACATTTCCGTTTGAAAAGGTGGATCAAGCATAAGTGGGAACGCGACTTGCGGTTTCGTTGCGGTAAGATAACGATCACACCAAAATGCCGGATCGTGATCCACCTTTTCCAAATTCAAGTGGGAACGCGGTGATAGTAATTGTAAATGTACATTTACAGTAATCAGGGGTAAGATCAAGGAACCTGCTGTTCATAATCTCGTTTCGTTTAGATTATGTACCCTAGTCCATTCCAGTAGAGGGCGCTACCAACAAGAATATCAAATCAAGTCACTCAGCATTCGGACCCGAGAAATTGCAAGCATGCCTTTAATATGCATGTATCATTAAACCTAACTGGTCACTGCGGCTTGGCTGCACTTGCCAGGGAGGGCTGGCTGCTTCAGGGGAACAGAATCCAAAATCAAGTCTCAATTGGATTATGACTAATTGACGAGGGTGTTTGTGTCCATGTGTATGACACTTTACTCAAGTGCCATGACAGTTATTAGACATCAAATATTTACAAAAAGTAGACGTCCAAAGTGTGCTACGTTCAGTAGTACTTTCTCGTGATTACAAATTGATGAGTATTCAAGTAGAAGTTTGAATACAAGTTAACATTCTTCAAGTCTTTGCTTGTACCAGTAGTTGAGTACATTGCGTGTGTATGTTATAAATTTGAGTACCGAAAGAGGTATACTTGAGTACAAGAAACCTTACAAAGCACCCAACATTCGTGTATGTGTAGCAGGTGCACAATATAGCAACTGTATAAATAATCTAGTACAATTGAATGATTGGGCTGCCGTGAGGGGCCCATTAAATGCAGGTTAATGAAGACTAGGAACAAGCAGGTGCTTGCATAGTTAAGTGTACTCCTGGGGGAAGTACTTGACGGGTATGGGATTTGTTTCTAAGGGGAGCTGTGCAGAATTAAATATTGTCCAGAATAATGCTTCATGTGCAAACAAACAAGTAGCCAAGCACCATGTACATTTTACTGTTTGTATAGCTCACAGTATTGAACATTATTATTACACATTTTAAGTCAACTCTGTCATGTATCTTTCTCCTCTGTCAGTATCTTTCTTTCAAACATCCGTTTGGTCTAACATTCTAAAGTTATGCCGAAACAGAGTACACTGTATTTGAAATATTTGAATTGAGTAGGCCTACATGACAGTTTGATGTTTGAAACAGTTAAAGAGACTACACATATATTGAAATATCGACGGTCGCAATCAATCAGAGTGACTCCACAGTCAGGTCTATGGACACAAATAATTCATCAAGTTCACCTTTCTGAAACAAAATCTATTTAAGTTGATGCGAGTCGCTCCTTTTACGATTTTCTCAGCATGACTCTGGAATGCCAATCTGAAACAGGTGCAATGCTGGTAATTACTTATCTCTAATACCAAGGTCTTTCAATATATCAAATCAATGAGACAAAGATTTCTGAAATTCAAGGAAATGTAATATCTGATCAAAACCACAGATGTATGCCCTTGTCTCATACCAGTTTGTGTTTTTCTAGGTTGTGTCTTATGTGTCTCACTGTTGTCCATTTTGTCCTTTCTCACTGTCTCTGTTTTTCTCTGTCATGTCCACTTGTCTGTCGATAGGTTAGGGTACAAAAGCGTGACGCTTCACCTTATACCTAAATGTTGTCGTAAATTTGTTCTAGTATTGATCCATGTACATTATTATACACGATTACATAATTCATTGCATTTTGCTCTGTGTACATGTATATTATGTTTACACGGCATTGTAACATTTTATTGTGTGGAAATGGCAACATTGAAATAAATGTTTCTACTAACTAAGTTCAAATGTACACACAGAGTTTCTAGGGTATCCTTTCTAGCAAGTGAGTGATTGATTACAGTAATGAGTTGTAAACTTTGATTGTTGACATAACATCCTTAGTCCACCCATGGGAATTATTCTTGGGTAGATATGGTTATCCCTTATCAGGGTGCTCTTACTGTAATCACAGTGTCAACTCCAGTCACTTGTCAAATTCCAGGACAACTAGAGCAAACAGTGTGGAAAATAAACAAGACAGTATTGACTTGGACTAATGTCAACTGTAGTCTGAGACTTCAGCTTCTGTCATTCAAATTTTGGAAACCAAAATCGTGAAACTCATGTACAAATTATGGGAAGAGATGTTGAAAGCTTGTATTGTAAATATATATACACATTGCCGTCATCAGAAAACTATCACTGTGTGCACATTGGACATTGCAAGGATATGGTCGCTTTTAGTCTCCACATTATGTGATGATTTTATATTCATGTACAGTATAAAACAACAAAAAATGTAGCATGTAATTGTAAGCATAACTAGTCTTACCATTTTAGTAATCATTTACCGATATAGTTGCATGAAAAAAAATAGTTTAAGACAAAAGAAACTTGTAACTAAATATTTTGAAACGGAACAGAGATCTTCAATTTTCATCAGTGAAGTACCCTTGCCACTTGCACAATTTAGCTGTCATTTCTGTAATATCTCTAGAAGCTCAAAAGTGTAAGTGTGAACAGTTGCAAGATTTATTTGCAAGGGCTTTAGTCAGTAAACTTGCTGGGGAAAGGCCTAACGTCCCAGAAATAATCCTTTGAACCTGCCATTGTGTCAGGAATCTGTAGGTTTAATCTTTCAGCTGTATAGGAGGAAAACTCCCATAGGCATCACTGAACACACTGAAATCTAATACCAGTTGCACTTCTCTTCCAATTGTTATGTGTGTGTGACTAGTTGATGATTGGGTCTCATTGTTGCCCTGTCCCTCATGTAACAATCATTTGAACCACAAAGCATATATGGCTTAAACTTAAGACATTTGCTACATTTACAATTAGGTTTGACAGTCATGTACTGTAGAATACTCCAGGATTGATTATGTACATTTACATGCATTTTCTCTGTTGATAATAAGCTACATGTTCATAATTATGCAGTCTCAAATGCCAAACCGATTAGACTAATAGCAGCATAGTGAGATGTAGCCAGCCATGGTCTGGCTAATTGGCTCCATACCACCATGGTTCCACTTGTCCTCCAAGCCAGGTCATGACCTGATATCAGGCCACATGATGATATCTTTATCATCATCCCTTGCCCTACTGGCTGGGTCTCCTTTGGGCTCCAGTCACCTTGTTGACTTCAACCAGCGCCAGCATTCCAGTCATACCAAGCAGTCTTAAGATATTGCTCATGTTGAGTGCATAGCCTGGGCAAGGTTATCCTGGCCTGTTTGCTTTACTTTGCTAAGGACAACTCTTGGTTGTCATTTCACACCCAGCAAAGGATAAGAGGGCAAGTCTGTGTACCCTTATAACTCCTTGCCTCTATTCATTAGCATCAGAAGGTTGTCATTTGAAGCTACTCCTAAAGTTGCTTAATTCCCGCATTCCATTACAATTAGTGTATGCCCCATAAATCTCTTAAAAAGTAGTTTACCAAAGAAAATGCTGTTATCTTGGGCTCAGGAACCTAATTGCAATCTTGTGTTGCAGTTCGGTGAGATGCTTTACTACATGTATACTTGATTTTTCAGCCCATATTCGTGGAATCTTTGTTAGTAAGACTTGTGAATTAATCCAGTTATTCACATGCTACATGAAACATGGAACTGCTGTAACTCTTCTGGGATAATGAAAGTCATTTGGAATGATGCACTGACTGGTTAATTAAAAGTGCAATATAAAATAAATGTTCATGTTACTATTATTAAATTTTACTGTTGTGTCAAATATTGACTTCTTCACTGCCAAGATACATTTTACCCAGTGTGTATTTCCCTGTAAAATATTCAGTACTCACAGAATATAATGTTTATTGCTTGGCAGTTACAAGTCATTCCTAATACTATAGACACACAATGTGAAATACCACTCACCAACCAACAAATCTAAATGCTCACCCCTGAATTTCTTGTATTAGGCCGCACAGTGCTGTTAACAGGTGGTGAAGGGAATGCAGTGGGTTGTATCATAACAGCATCCTTTTTATTTTGTCTCAACAGCCTCCCTTTCTGTTCATTCTTTCCAAAAGGTACAGAAATATAGGAACACATGATACTGGAATACAAGTCAATGTCCAAGGACTGGATTAGGAGATCAGCTTGTGATTTTCCTTTTGCCCCTTCCCCCCCCCAAAAAAAAGACATTCAGCCAAAGTTTCTAAGTAAATACTTATCTATTGAGTCGGAAGATACTTTTAAGTTTTACTTGAACCTACATGTATCAATACTTGTACATTACATAATTACTAATTGCTTGTGTTTTGTTCCAAATCCAATTTACAGATGAAACCATCGACATTGATGCAGAGACAAGCCCCACAGAGGCAGTAGTAACTGTGTCAGAAGAGACAGTTGACAAAGCTAAGGATCAGCAGGGCAGTGGAGGACAGGAGATGGAGGGAAGTGGGAGTGGAACAGATGAAGACGGAGAACAAGAAACAGGAAGTGGTGAAGAGATACATGTGCCTAGTCCCATGGTCCTCTGTCAAGACTTTGAATGTCAGAATGGAGGAACATGTTACGTGGATGTGGTGATGGACAAAGCAATGTGCAGATGCACAGAAGGATTCAAAGGAGATAGGTGTGCAGAAAGTGTGGTGATACCACCTACTACATGTGAAGGATTTGAATGTCAAAATGCCGGCACATGTTATATCAACGGTGAAACAAGTAGAGCATCATGCCACTGTCCACTTGGATATGAAGGAGAGATGTGTAAGCAAAGTAAGTACAAGGATCATAAGAGACCTTGATGTACCCATAGAGCAAGGACCCAAGGAGTTCGTACTCCAAGACTTCAAAAGTAAAATGATGGTCGCCGCACTGGAAAGCAACAATAGAAAGCACCTGGCAGCCAGCTTGCTCAGTTGCTCACTACGCTAATCTTGACACAATAGAGATCCACGCTCACTAATGCCAGAAAAGGAGTTTGCATGGCTTCGTAGACAGTACCATGGTAAATACGCATGCGCAGTTGTCATACATCGCTAAAAATGAATGATTTTGAAGTGTTTGTTCGGAGTTGGATGATACTGTATATAAATGTGGTCAACATCACTGGACCAACTTTTTATGAAGAACAAAATGCTCTGAACCTTTAGTTTGAAAACTTGTGAAATTTTCCAAAAAAACACATTTCATTAATGATATATTGCCAATTAAAATGTCTGAAAATACATGAAAACTTATCTGAAAGAAACTCAATTTATCTCCAAATTACAGGGACAGATAACGCTTTTAAGCACCAATAACTGCACATTGCTAACTTGAGTTCATAACTCACATCTTACAACTGCGCAGTTGTAAAAACCTATCTTGTCGTAAAATATATTTTTAAAAAAAGAGCAGCGACGTGACATGACTTATTATGCAGCATATAGGGAGGTTGTTGGTTACCAACTAAAAAGGCGGCGACGATCATCGTGTTCAAAGGCCGCTGGCATTCACGCTTTGAATGGTCGAGGCTTGCGGTCACAGTGCTTTAGCTATTGACATTCCCGAGGGATTGGTATGTTAATGGTCAAAATGTAAATCGCCCAAGAGTTCTGACTCCTTGGGTCCTTGCTCTATGATGTACCGGTACAAGGGAAACCTGAAATGGATCATACAAGCAAATTCTGTAACATTCCCCCTCCCCCCACCCTCCCCGTCTGAAACGAAAAAGAAAATAGGAAAAGAAGAAAACCTACAAAAAGAAAATGTAAATGAGAAGGACAAGAAAAAGAAAGAAAACTAGAGCTACGTCTGTTCGAGGAACAGAACATACATATGGTTTTAATGGAGTTAGGGTTTACAAACTGGGGTAAAAACGCCCGATTTTTAAGTTTTTGTTAAATATCTCAGTACTACTTGGAGACACTTAGAATAAATGTGTGGTTTTATGCAAAACATGTCTCCTCTATCGTGTGCAAATATAATATCATGGTCATTATATTGATAAAGAGAAATTTTCCTCTCTGCATGAAGTCAAGGGTAAAAGGTACCGGTAGTAATTGATAATTTTCGGGGTTTTTTTCCTCATTTTTCCCAAAAATAAATTAGGGTAGGGGCTGTGAAAATAGGGTAGGTAGGGTAACCGGAGCAGAACTATTGTTTGGGGTTTTTTTTTGCCTTAACCCAGTGGTTTGAGCCACAAACTGAGGATTGAGTAATACAGATTCTTGTACATTATCATTGGAAATCATACGAAGCATCGCACCACAACTCACAGATGCTTTTCCCAATGTGTCATTTAATTAAAGCACAGTTGGTTAATATGGGCATCTATTTTCTGTGAAACACCAATCAAAATATAAGGTGACATTTGCAAAAAGTACTTCAGTTTTTATAACTAGCCAATCAAGTACAGTGAAAATTTCACAGACGAAAGGTAAACAAGTGCCCAGAATTATTGAGAAGACCATGGTGGTTCTGTGTATTGTCCTCACTAATTCTTGGGGCAAACCTTTAGCTGAATCCTTGTACCCAATCAGCTCCGTCTTCCACCCATATGAGGCTGTATCTTGGGTATCCGTGGGCCAAACTGCATGTTGCTTTATACCTATACACTGTACATTAGAGATATCATTTGCATACAATCACTTTACATCTATACAGTGGTCAACAAAACTTACTATACCGGTAGTTAAATGGTTGTCTAAAAGTCCTACAAAAACCATTCAAAAATCTATTAAATGCTATCCATTCTGTGCTTTTGTTTGGAATTCATGTAGGGATTTTGCCCAAAACAAGTCCAGAAGACCACTATAACGTTTGATGGCTACAAGCATGTACATTGTAAAAACGAAAAGACTTGCTGAAAAGATGGAAAGATGTTTTCTTTTCTTTTGAAAAGCAACAAATAATGTTTGGTCAAAAAACATGAAGAAGGTAGAACATGACATGGATGATGCATTGATGCAAGGGCAGATTCCTCAAAAATGCCATTTTCACAAAGAGATGCCCACATGATTGCCCTGACAGATTATTGTGCGGAAAGGCATGAGAGTAAGTCATCGGAGATTATAGGCATCTTTGATGTGTGTACATTTTCAGTGTAAACATGCACGCCCCCTAATACATTCTATTTAAAACCAATCTATGTTTGACAAATGTAAAATAACGAGCCAGTTTTGACAGAACAACTTCAATAAACATCATTTGCATAATATAAGTATTCATGTACGTGTATTGAACTTTGAAATCAAACAAGAATGTAGATCTATGCATTGTCACACAATTATTACATGTACCAGTAAGGCCATCACTGTTCAAATGTGGAGGGGAAAAAATAACTACTTAGGCCTACTGTTGGGATTATTTGAAGAAGAAAAAAAGCCAAGTCAAAACATGCATGAAACAGGTACATGTACAAGGTTTTATTTAAACGCACAGCCCATTGAATAACATGAACTTTGCTATCCAGCCACCGGTACCATTCTGCCAGTCAATCCAAGCATTCACCTGTGTACATCATTATTCTTTTTCAGGACTTGTGTGTTTGGACAGGGTGAAAAGGCATAGGGATTAGTGTCAGCCTGCCAAGCTGGCTGTGTCTAGGGAGAAAACTATCCATTGTACCTGATTCTATTCAGCCACCCAGGGAATGGTGTGTCACAACACCCATGGCCCCAACAACTCTCACTACTTGTTCAATTCCCATTGTATCAGACTCCTCTATTATTTAGGTGCTATTTGCTGAAGCTGGTTGACATTCTGCACGATATTTGGTTCTCATTGTTGAGAAGTAGGTCTTGGTTGAATAGGATTGTATTTATTGCTATGGGGGCATTCCATCAAGTCCATTGGGTACTTCTCCCCACAGTTAAACATCTTTGTCTGGCTCTAAGTCTTTGGATGTGAAACATTGGTACATGTCCATGTATGTACATGTTTACATGTATCGTAAGCCTCATTGCTCTGTTTTGAAACGTTGGGGTCATTTTTTTCTTTTCAGTGCAGATCTCAAAGTTAAAACACATTTCTTTTTATATTTTTTTTTTAATTTTGATAAACCATAAATGGAAGCTGACTAGATGCAATATCATGTCTTAAAATTGAACAAAGAAATTGACTGAAGCAGGGTTTGAACCTGTGACCTCCAGATTGCCATTCCGGTCCTCTACTAATTGAGCTTTCCAGCCCTGTATTCTTACTAGGACTAACAACCCACCTTCATTTGAAGGGGCTGGTACCGGTAAGGTTAATTTTAGGCCAAATTGGCGCACTTTGACATTAAAGGCAATAGGAACACTTGCAATTACCCACAAACATACCTACTTGCTTAACCAGAACCAGAGGGGTTCTTGTGAAAGGATTCCATGGGTGTATACATTCGCCAGTGAATCTATCATCCTGTTCATGCATTTTTACGGTCATTATCCTACCTCTTGGCACATGAAAAATCCACTCTGTGAGACGATATGTTCCTGAAGACAATCAGTTCAAACAAACATAAACAAACATATTCATCACCTTTAACTTGATTAGTTTTAATGGTGTTGCTCCAAAACTGTTGACAGTAAACCCATGTACCATGCTTATATGCACTACATAAATACCCTTACTGTTATTTGCTTGCAGCTGTTGCCATCAAGTTCCCAAGTTTTCAGAGCCATTCCTACATGGAATTCTCCTCTCCACTTGGCCTTTATCGGACATTCCAGGTCCGAGTGGATTTCAAGCCAGAGACGCTGGATGGATTGCTTCTATTCTGTGGAGAGCAGGACAGTACTGATAAGGACTACTTCTCCCTCGGTCTTGTTGATGGCAAGATGCAATTCAAGTGAGTTATTGATGGCAATCTTCATAGCTATGATAGCCATTGGTATGTGTCTATGTCTGTCTATCAAGTAAGGCTACAGCATGTGACTTTTTGCATCTTTGTAGATTAAGTTTTGAAAAGGGTGCCCTCAGCTTCAGAGTCATTACCAGTGATGTCTGCTGTGTCAGGTATTTCAGAAGGTTTGCATACATTCAGACATTTTGTGCGCAAATCATTCATTTTTCCCTCTCTTTTTAGTGAAGACAAAATAGTGACAAAATGACGATGTGACATATGCGAAATATCACATGGCAATAGTTCCTAGAGGTGTCAAAAGTTGATAAACTGAATGAGGAAGTCATTGGGAAGCTTAACTCAAACCACTTCACTTACTCTGCAACACAAGAGTTTCAGCATTAGCACAAATTAACACAGACTGCAGTTTGATAATGAATTTGTGTACATGTATACAGACAAGGAGATATTACACTGCCCATCTACCTGCAGCAAATCTGTTCTACCATGCATCACAGTGGTTTGACTGATGGTTATGTAGAATATGCTGTCGGAGAATGTGCTGTAAACCAACATGTTTTGATATGCAAATGATCTGATAATGTGTCACCCAAAAAAATGCTTAATTGCAATGTGATTGAGCCTAACACCAAAACTAATATCTCCAATGAAATAAAACAACTTTTGTGGAGAGTGATAAAATGAGAAACAATCCATGAACAAATTCACTGCCCAGCTGACAAACCTGTTTCAACGCTGGCAAAATACTGGGTTGTATCAACATAATTTGTGACATTTAAGCAGCAACTGTGACCTGCCTAACAAAAGGGATGGAATAAGTGCAATCAAGCAATGCCCCATTCCCAAGGTACAATGTATATCTTCCAGCACCCTATATCCCTTGATCCTCTTCCATAATACATGTAGCTCAGGGAACCCTGAGGCTGGTTGGACTACTGAGGGGCACAGTAAGGATACTGTTACTCTCAATACAAGTAGCCATACAAGTTCTCAAGCTCCCCATGGGGTTTGGAGATAACATTGATGACATCAGTAGTTGGAGGAAAAAACCAGCCCTGCGGGAGATTTGGCACCAATACAGTAAACACCCATGCAATGCACGACCCGGAGATTCATTTCTTAGTTCCGTCCTTCCAAGTCTTTAATATCATAATCCGATAAAAATGGGGCTATTTAGTGGAAAAGCTGGGCCTGAAGGCCAACACTGAAGACGGACAAGTTGGCGAGACCTTTGGAGAGAAAGGCAAGACAGGGATATTTCATCACCTTATTTCAACCAAATATTGCTGCCAACTGAAGCGGTTGGTCAGATTGTGGATTGTCTTACTTCTCTAGGCACTTCATCTCTGCTGATTAAAACCACTGATAAATCATTTGCTATCCCCCTCTAGTTTGTTGATGCATGCTAGTGGCAGATTGAGTTATTCATTGTGCCTGCACGATTGCCTTGTTGTTGTCCTAATATTGGCAGGCACAGATATGAACAGTTTCATAGAAGATCCATATCAATGTGCTCAAGGCGTTGCAGTATTTAGAAGCAATCATATTTATTGTAGATTTTTTAAATTGCAACGAATAGATTTCAATATAATTCACTTATATAATGTTCAGGGTTTTTTTAATTTGAATTAAAAGTATAGCTCCTAGTCCTATACTGATCAGCATGCTTAGCATTATTTATGGACAAATATCAGTAGGGAAAATGTTTGGACACTGGATGAACATTTTATAAATTTTAAGAATATTTTGGGGGGTTTTGTAATTGATTGCTTTTGAAAGAAAAATTGTCAAGTATTAATACCGGTACTTGAAGAAATCTACTTACTCAAAAGTGTTTTCTGGGGGTTGTTTATTGTTTAAAGAGAATTAAATCAATTTTAGAATTGCAATCATTGCCACTTGAATAGGCAGGATAATTGAATAAGATGAAAGGGAAAACGTGTGTGTGGACAAAGGGAATAAGGCAGATAATGCTGGCGGCAATTTTCAATGTGCTTTCCTGGACGTCAAGATGATGTACATGTATACCTGGACAGGATATTGAGCTCCGTGGGTCCCCCCTGCAGGCAGATGCTTTTATCGCATTTAATTCGGCTCAGAGATCCTATTAATGCGTCACTGGACGTGTCCGTTACAGTGATGTCATATGAGGTCATGGGGAGAATTATGATCACTTAATGAGATACAATAAGAGATAACTAATCTTAAAGAAAAATTTAAAAAAAAACCTCTCCCAAAGAAACACCATCAGCATTCATGAATTTAAATTTATCAATTAAATGTGTAATTAAATTTAACTGTTAACATAGGTAATGTGTATGTGCTTCAAGTGCGAGCATTTAGTCAGTGTTTTTTTTTTATAGATAAACAGATTTTTTTTTAAGAATGCAGGATGTTGCATTGTAGCATATCTGTGGTTAAACCCAACATCCGAGACTACAGGAAGATGAGGTTAAATATCCTGGACACGATGGAATTCTGGTAGATAAATCTTGTCTTTTTATGTTACAGTTCTATTTTGATTTGAGGATAGAATCTAATAATTCAAGTGATATTCAAGAAACACTCAGGCTTGGTAGAAGAATGGAGAAATACATGATGTCACTTTCTGACTCAGTCATGTCAGTAGAAACAGAACATAAAACCTTATCATTTTAGCTTAAATGGTTGCTGTGATCTACATGCATATATTCATTTATTTTCATATTAGAACCCCTGTAGGCGTATTTCCTTATTTGTTGAGGCAGTAACCCCCAGGCACTTTGCTGGTTGGCTAAAATCCTTGAATTTAAAATCCATAATTTTGCAGAAACCAAATGATACAAAACTTAACTGTCCTACATGTAGGTATTGACGGTTCAAGTATCTGAACCAACCACCTAACCTGAAGAAAATAAGCCTGGATGGATTAGTTGTTGGTATTTGTTACCCTGAACATCCAAAGCATTTCTGTTAGAAATGTTACATACAAGTACATGTATGTGAGGGGGAGTAATGCAGGATTTGGAAGCGAGTACAGGCAATGTCCTCCTTCAATGCATGCACATGTACATGTACATGTATGTGAACATATTTGTGGAGTGATCCAACCCCAAAGACTGTGCAAAAAATGAACATTTTGCTAATCAATATTTCCGTGGGGGGGGGGGGGGGGGGGGTCCGTGTAAAGGATTTTTTTGTTGTTAACTTCAAAACCAGCAAGATCCCCAAAAAAGTGCAGGCCCATAATTAGTGGCTAATGTGCTGAATGGAAACCTATTGTCCTATTGTAAATAGGTGCCTGCAGCCTGATCAGAGTTTCTTTCTTTGCTGGCAGAAGACAGGATTTGGCTTGCTTCAGCAAGAGCACCGTGACAAACAGAACAAAAGACATCACATTTCTTAAGATCCCCAATTTCTTGAGAAGGAAGAAGGAAAAAGACTGTTTGTATTAAATCCTCGTATGAAATTACCTGAGAATTGTAATCCATCATGTTATGTACTTGTATATTGAGTAGGCTTTCTTAAAACTAAATAATAAGGAATGAAAACGTGGCATAATGTGACTGAAATATCTCTCTGAAGCTCCAAGGAATTCATTTAAGGGTTCTTTAAATTCAACGGCTGTTAGTGTTTTAGACCTTCCCATACATTTTTTGGCCAGAGGTTGATTGTTTCTTTAAACATGCACTGTAAGGAAATGTGACAGAAATTTGTATTAAATAAGTAACCACCAATTTGTTTTCTTCAAAATATGGTAGAGGTTCCTCTTCAAGGAATAGAATATAATTTGTTTCTGATAATATCAAACAAAATTAGCTGGCCTTAAAAATAACATTTAAATATCAGCTTTCCAGAAATTGATTGACAGCCCTTTGACAAAGCTTATGCAATTTAACTCTTTTCTTTAATAAAAAGTATTTTTTAGGTTTTCCCATGGGTAGAAGCTGTTGGAGAATGCACATTTTAATGTCAGTTGGTCCTTTAACACATGTAGCCTCAAATGCCTTTGAAAAAGAAAATTGCTGTTTTCTGGAAATATTAATTACCCCTAACAGAACTCAACCCATCAAACCCCAACAGCATGTTTTGTTGGAATCTGTCAGAATGGGTACAGTATCCCTAAACTGACAGTCTTTTACATTGGGTTGGCACACCTCCAGAATCAAAGTCAGAAATATGTGTGTGCAGTTTCCCATATGGTGTTGGAATTTGCCAGGATGGGTATGGTTCCTAGTAAATCATGCCAGGGAGTTAAGATTTAAAGAAGCTGGCAAAAGTGCTTTGAACTTACCACAAGTGCTAAGGTCAGCAACCACTAACGACTTATAATTATGAGATTAGTTTATTCCTTTGAAAGGAAATTGATTTCCAAAAGTTAATTTTATGGAAACTGTTTTGTTGAAGTATGGTCTCTTTTAAACATGTACATAAAAATGATAATGCAAAACATTAACTCCAAAAGGGCCAGGTTGGATGTCCGACCTTGGTCCATTTTTTTTTCAAAAAAACCTCACCACGTGAATTTCAGCAATATCATAAAAACGGGATAAAGCAGTTGTGCAAAATGTCAAATGTTCAGTACAAAGTACAAAAAAAACCCTTATTTTCCTGTTAACCTTGTACTTTGTAGGAGAAGGCACTCATTCATGGACAGAAGCATGGAATATTAATGAACACTTACAAAATACTTTTTATATTACAGAGTTGAAACGTTGCATACTACATGTACAAATGTATGAATGTTTACATAATTCTGAATTATGAATGTTTCTAGTAACTAGAAACAAATAATAAAAATCAAAACTCATCTCATAATCTGTAAGATTTGGGATAAATATTCATGGTCTTATTCCAAACACATTTCCTCTAATACATTCTTTGTAATTTGAGTTCCTCTGGTAAGACCACTGGTAGGTACTGTAATATGAAGGTACATACATGTACATTGTAATTGATGGATAGGATATATTCAGTTAATAGTCCAGACATGCCTGATGTTGTGG